CATCCATTTTGGTCTTTTCTTTCTTTCCTGTCTTTTTAATGATCTCTTGCTTTCTTCATGTATGATGTCCTTGATGTCATTCCACAACTTGTCTGTTCTTTGGTCATTAGTGTTCAATGAGTCAAATCTATTCTTGAGATGGTCTCTAAATTCAGGTGGAATATACTTAAGGTCATACTTTGGCTGTCATGGACTTTTTCTAATTTTCTTCAGTTTCAGCTTGAACTTGCATATGAGCAATTGATGGTCTTTTCCACCGTTGGCTCCTGGCCTTGTTCTGACTGATAATATTGAGCTTTTCCATCATTGTTTCCACAGATGTAGTCAATTTGATTCCTGTATATTCCAGCTGGTGAGGTCCATGTGTACAGTCGCCATTTATGTTGGTGAAAAAGGTATTTGCAATGAAGAAGTCATTGGTCCTGCAAAATTCTATCATGTGATTTCCGTTGTCATTTCTATCACCAAGGCCATATTTTCCAACTACCGATCCTTTTTGTTTGTTTCCAACTTTCACATTCCAATCACCAGTAATTATCAATGCATCCTGATTGCATGTTTGACCAATTTCAGACTGCAGAAGCTGGTAAAAATCTTCAATTTCTTCATCTTTGGCCTTAGTGGTTGGTGGGTAAATTTGAATAATAGTCATATTAACTGGTCTTCCTGTTAGGCTTATAGATATTATCCTATCACTGACAGCACTGTATCCAGGATAGATCTTGAAATGTTCTTTGGACAATGAATGCAATGCCACTCCTCTTCAAGTTGTCATTCCTGGTGTAGTAGACTGTATGATTGTCCAATTCAAAATGGCCAAAACCAGTCCATTTCAGTTCACTAATGCCTAGGATATCGATGTTTATGCATTCCATTTCATTTTTGATGATTTCCAATTTCCTAGATTCATACTTCGTACTTTCCACGTTCCGATTATTAACGGATGTTTGCAGCTGTTTCTTCTCATTTTGAGTTGTGCCACATCAGCAAATGAAGGTCCTGAAAGCTTGACTCCATCCACGTCACTAAGGTCGGCTCTACTTTGAGGAGGCAGCTCTTCCCTGGTCTTCTTTTGAGTGCCTTCCAACCTGGGGGCGCTCATCTTCTAGCACTATATCAGACAATGTTCCGCAGCTATTCCTAAGGTTTTCACTGGCTAATTCTTTTCAGAAGGAAACTGCCGAGTCCTTCTTCCTAGTCGCTCTTAGTCTAGAAGCTCAGCTGAAACCTCTCTGCTATGGGTGACCCTGCTGGTATTTGAATACCGGTGGCATAGCTTCCAGCATCACAGCAACACGCAAGCCCCCACAGTACCACAAACTGACAGACATATGGGGGAAGGTTTATATTAATAGGCCATAAATTACACTGAGGCATATTAATAGGTTTATCAAGGAGCCGTGGTAGTGCAATGGTTATATGCTCAGCTGCTAACCAAAAGGTCTGAGGTTTGAACCCACACAGTAGCTCCTTGGGAGAAAAGACCTGGCAAACTGCTCTCATAAAGATTACAGGAAACCCTTCAGAGCAGTTTTACTCTTATATAAGGTCACTATGAGTCGGAACCAGCTCCATGGCACACAGCAACAACAACAAGTTATCTACTAAATTATGCTAAAAGTATTCAATGAAGATATTATCCTTTGGACACTCAAGGCTATTTATACCTATACAGGGGGTATAAACAAAGAGATATGACCTCAGAATTGCCTCTCTGAGTCGCTGGCATGACTGCTCAAAGGAACAAAGTTTGAGTTCCAGAGCTTCAGGGTCTGGACCATGATATTAAGAAAATGTGGAGACCCTCAGGCCTTAACCACCTGGCTTTGCTTTTTCCACAGAACCCCCCAGCCTCCCAGCCCAGTGAAAGCCTCATGCAGCTGATGGCCAAGGGGGAGAGTGAGGCCCTCTCCAAGATTTTTGCTGACTTGCACCAGCAGAACCAGTTCAGGTACATGACTTAAATCAGGTCAGCTTCTGACATCCCTTTCCCACAACCCGTATGGCCTTGGCTGTGTGATCCAGAAACCAAGTAACCTGGTTAATTAGCATAAGAGGGGGGCAAAAAGTACTGCCCCTCAGTATCCAGTCTATCCTTGACTGGGGCAAGCTTTTCCCAGTTCTCCTTGCTTCATTCCCTCCCCAGAGCAAGTATGTGCTGACTTGCTTGACTCCAGAGAAGAAGTTTTTTTTAAAATTAAAAGTAACTCTCCAACAATGAGAATAAATTAGTAACAGAGGTGGAAAAGCGAAACCTAATTTCCAGTCAGGATCCCTGGGTGGTACAAATGGTTAACACGCTTGGCTGCTAACCAAAATGTTGGAGGTTTGAGTCCACTCAGACGTGCCTCAGAAGAAATGCTTGGTGGTTCACTTTTGAAAAATCAGTCATTGGAAACCCTGTGGTGCAAAGTTCTACTCTGACACACATGGGTCACTATGAGTCAGAATCAACTTGACAGCAGCTGGTAACTGGTAATTTCCAATCCATTTCCTAGCCCTGCAGAGAAATAACCAAAACATTGTTTAAAGCCTTGTCTACTTACTGGGTTCATTTACCCACTTACTAGCCTCTGCTTAGACTTTATGAAGTTTCCATGGTTATTTTCTAAATGTAGAGTAGGTTCTGGAAAGCCCCTACTGTACAAGGCTGTCTTCTCCATGCCTGGGAAAATGTCCCTGTGTGTACAGATGACTTAGAGTTGAGTCTTAAGAGTTGAGAGCACTTAAACCACAGAGTACCATGACAAGGGAGCAAAGGTAAAGTGGGATCCAGTGTCCTAGAGAACTTTGTGGTTTAGAAGAAAAGGGAGAACAGAAATAAATTAGTATCCGTTGTCAGAAAAGAAAAATTAAAAGATGTCAGATGGAACAGAGTCAGCTGGAACCAGTTAGACCAAGAGCTCAGAGATGAAGAATCACCTTTCTCTCTGAGTGCTGGTAGTGAACTGAAAACCAGTAGACCTGGGCTCAAGCCACTGCTCTGACTATGTGCTCTTAGGCATGTTGCTTAACTTCTCTAAGCCTCAGTTTCCAGATCTGTAAAATGGAAATAATAATGGTGCCAACCTCGTTCAGATAGTGCCAGGATTGGATGAATTTAGCATCAACTACTTAGCACACTCCTCAGCAGATTTAGAGGCAGATACACATAAGCTCTCAAAAATATTAATTTGTATTATTAACTCTAACTTGCACCGGAGGTAAAAAAAATATTGACAAGAAAAAGACTTACAAGTTGCCTGATGTTAAAGAATACATTGCTGAGGACAGAGCTCTGTATATCATACAGTGATATCTGTAAGTAAGAGATTTCTGGGTAAGATGTCATTGCTGAGCTGGAGAGCACTGGACTCTAGTAGAACAAAATATTTTGAAGCAACAGTTCAACTGTCTCAAAATGTTAAATCACTGAGTTTTATTACTATTTTAAAGGATGGCTTCTGCTCCTATCCCATTGGTCACAACACAGTCATATGAGCACAATGCAGTCACATGACCACAACATAGTCACATGGCCATGCCCAGCAGCAACGGAGGCTAGGTAATACATTCTCCATTCTGGATAGCCATGTGCCCAACACAAAATTAGGTGCTCTGCCCCCAAAAAGAGGAGAGAAGGGATACTGGGGACCTACTAGCAATCTCTAGCACAGACAACTTTTAACACTGAGTCTGGAAGCTCAGAGAAGGCTCAGACCTGAAGAAGGAATAGGCAATAGCCAAGTAAAGGGTGGTGAAGAGCTTTGCAAGTCAAGGGAACAAACAGTTACAAAGGCTGAGGCTTCACCCTGAGGAAGGAGCTGGGTGAGTTAGAGAAAGGGAAAGCAGGCCAGTGGGGAAGGGGGTTGGTGAGGAAAGTAACAAGTAGAAGTGGGCAGGGGCCAGGCCAGACAGGGCCTGGGAAGTCACGCGAATGAATTAGACTTTTTTAAGTATAATGGGAGCCCTTGCAGATTTTAAACAGGAAGTGATGTGATGCTATCTGCATTTTGCAAAGGTCACACTGGCAGTTGCAGTGACAGTTGATTTGAAGGGATGGGAGGGTAGGTGTGGCAACATAGTCTGAGCAAGAGATGATTTCATAGCTTGGATTAAAGATCTCTTGGGCTGCAATGTACAAAATGGACCAGAGGAGTGCAAGAAATAGGGAGAAATTCATTTTTGCTTCTCTCTTGTCTCAGTAATTGCTTTGTACAGTCATTTAGTTTCTTCTCTTTAATGTCCCAGAACTAAGGCCTGAATCATGATTTTTCTCCTCACTCCAGTAGGTTCTATCTAGTCTGGTTGCAATTCGATCTGTTTTTGCACATTAGCAACACATGCAACTCACAACAAATTAACTAAATGGCTGAGACACAAGACGGAACAGATGGAGTCCCACCCACTCCCCCTCAGCAAACTCAGTGGCATGGGTTCTGCTCCCCACCCTCTACCACACCCCACCTCCCCTTTCCTATTTCTTCTTTTGGTACTTCAACATGTATCATACCCACAGCTGGCCTTTTTCATATTTATATCTACCCCTTAGAAGAAAGATTTGAAATAAGAGTTTAATGCTATTTTCTTTTGCTTTTGACCTCCTTTCCTTGATCCTGAAATGGCTGGGGTTCCAGGAGCAGTAAAAAGATGGAGACCAACAAGGATACCTCAGGTAAAGGAGGGCCTCGGGCATCCTGTCTCCAGAACTTTCTGCTATGCATGTGTGGATAGAAGATTCCCTCCAGCTCCCCACTCTGACTCTCCTGGTGCTGTCAAGATTGCCCTAGTCTCTCCATGCCTTAGTTTGAGTTCCTCTAGGCTCTTTGACCACCAAAGTCAAACCGATACCAAGTTCTACTAATTTCTTTCTTTGAGATATTTTCTTACATTCTTTGCTTCATTTCCATGCCTATAGATCCTACCCTAGTCCAGTCCCTTATAACCTCATGCCTGAACTACTGCAGAAATCTTCTATTAGTTCATTCATTCATTTATTCATTTAAAAACAGGTATTGGGCTCCCAGGAAGTTCCAAACACTGAGGTAGACTTTGAGTATCATGAGGAAAGACACAGCCCCTCTTTAAGGAGGTTATGATTTGGTGGAGTCAGATGAGTAAATCTCAAAATTACAAACCCTCTCCTTCATGGCAACATCTAAAGCTCATGCCTGGGGTGCCAAAGGAGCACAAAGAAAGGGGTGCCTCACTCATCCCAGGAAGCTGTTCTGGAGGGCCTGGTATCTGAGCTGAGTCATGGAGGGTGAGTACAGTGAGGTGGCCTGAATCACTGAGGCAGGGCACTCTAGAAGAAGGGACAGACTATGGGTGAGGGAGCATGGCACATTCTAGAAACAGCAACTGGATCTCTATTTCTAGGTTCTAGTTCACCCCAAAGCCACTCTGTTTGGCATGCATGGGCCTGCATAAACGTCTTCCATCTTACTGATCTCACCTGATGACTCCCTCCTCAAACATGAGCCCTCTGTTTCATCTTCTGTCCAGCCCAAATCTTCCACTCTAGTCAATTCTTAGCCATCCTTCCCCATACCTCATTCATTCCCCCTCTGCTCCCTGCCCCATGATGCTCCATTCTAAATTCTACTTCTCCTTCCAAGTTCACCTCTTCACCTCGCGATGCCTTCCTGCCCAGACTAATCTTTCCTTGGTCATAACCTCTCCTACATTATTCCCTAGCTGTTTCATAGGTTTAAGTCTTGTTTCTTCAACCAATATTACATTTTTTTTCCATGCCTCTGAATTGTCCACAGCTGTAAGCACGGAGCTGGGAATACAGTAGGAGCTCAATAAATAATCCATGAACCACAGTATTAATAAATTATTTCTCCAAACTGGCTCAAGAGGCAACCAGAATATCATAACACATTTAGGAATGTAAAAGAGTATGTAGATCTCAAGGGGAAAGGCAGGGAACTCTACCAACTTTCCTCCAAACCGGGGGTTGCAAGCTCAAATGCCTGCAGGCGGTATGAATGGGTAAAGCATCTGGGTGACATGGATATAACCAAAAAAAAAACCAAACCCATTGCCATTGAGTCATTCCAACTCATAGTGACCCTATAGGAGTGTCCCATAGCGTTTCCAAGGCTGTAAATCTTTACAAATGCAGATCAACTCATCTTTCTCCCGTGGAGTAGCTGGTGGGTTCAAGATGGTATCTTTTTGGTTAGTAGCCAAGGGCTTAATCACTGTGCCACCAGGGCTCCTGACATGGATATAAGACATAGTTACCTCCCTTCTCAACTCTCTTATAAGTAAAACTACAGGCGGCAGCTGACACTTGGTTTCAGTATCGGGGAGAAATAGGGAGTGGTAGTGACAGTGGCAACAAGAAAGTGAAGGGCACTCAGCTTCAGTTCATTGTTGCCATGCTGGAACATAGGCCTGGCGTTGTTGAACACTCTTATTTTTCAAGAGAAGCCAAAAATCTGGATTTTTATGTAACATATCCTCCCATCTCCAAAATTAAAGCACAGTATAGGCCCACAAAGAGTCTTGGTGGCATGGCAACCAAGTGCTCGGCTGCTAACCGAGAGGTCGGCAGTTCAAACCCACCAGCCACTCCATGGGAGAAAGATGTGGCAGTCAGCTTCCATAAAGATTACACCCTTGGAAACCCTGTGGGGCAGTTCTACTCTGTCCTTTAGGGTCACTATGAGTCGGAATCGACTCAATGGCAACAGGTTTATAGGTCCACACTTAGTGGACAAACAAAACATGTCTTCAGGCCAAATTCAGCCTGGAAGCCGCCAGTTGACAAGCGTTCTAAATGGTGAGTAGGGCTGATGCTGACCCATATTTTTCCCAAGTTAGTGAATGGTTTCTCCTGTTATGTGACTGATAATACAATGGTGATTAATTTCTCTGTTTTATACACACATACAATCATACCCCCGACACACATACACTCTAAGCATACCCCCATATGAGGTTAGAGTTCAGAAAAACAAATAGAGAATATTTCAAAATTATTCCTGGGCCTGGAAAGAACAGCTAGAATTTCAGAGTCACAGGCTCTCTGGTGTCACCAGAGCTACCACTCCCAAGATGTCCCCAGGCTAACTGCAATTCACAGTCCTAGGATGTCCTCTAGTGGCTTCTCTTTTCTTGGCGCTTAAGAAACCCCTCTTTTCTCTTTGGGCCAGGTAGTATACCCTTTCATTTTGGAAGGACAGTCACACCCCAGCCTCTTGGAACTATTGAATGAAAAAGGAGAGAGCATGCTACCTTTCCCTGCCTATTGGAAAAACCACAGGCTCAAAAGCTTACCTGTATGGCTACAGTTTTCGACTCCCCGTCAACCTATTGCTGTGCTTCCCAAACTTTAATGTGCAAACAGTCCCCTGGGGATCTTGTTAAGATGCAGATTCTGATTAAGTGGGTCTGCATTTCTAACATGCTCCCAGGTGATGCAAAAGTGTTGAGCAGCAGCCACCCTTTGAGGAGCTAGGGTCAAGTAGACAAGAAACAGACTGTGGGACAAGGCCATCTGGGTTCAAGGCCATTGCCAATTCAGCTAGCTGTATCAGTTAACCTGTCTAAGCCACGTTGGTCTGCTCCTTCTCCTGGCACTGCCTGCCAGAATGTATATCACAGGCTGTAGTGGTTAAGAACGTGGGCTCTGGAGCTGAACTCCTAGAGTTTGAATTCTGTCTCTGCCTCCTCCTTATGGGTAAGTTACTTAACCTTGCTGGGCCTCCAACCTTCATCTGCAAAATGGGGACTATGTTCATGGGGTTGTTGTGAGTATTAAAAGAGCATTAATCCAAATCACAGACAGTCCTGGCCCATAATAAGCATTAAAATGTTGGTTGTAATATGGGGGGTGCTCTGTGAGCTAAAGGAGAAAACAAATACATTGCTTTTCTTGGCCTAGAGAAAGAAACTCCCTATGAAGACTGCATCCCTTGCACCCGTGACCTCAGCTGGAGGAATTCGTTTACCTTCGGAGAGTGGGAAAGGGAGAACCCTTCTGGGCTGCAGCCCCTCTCGCTCCTCAGCACGCTGGCAGCCTGCACCGGGCCGCAGCTGGCCCCACCCATAGGTGTGGTGATGGGACAGCCCTGGGGTTCGACCCCAGGCCTGGCTTCGGGTCCTGGGGTCCTGGGGTCCTAGAGTTGACTCAGGAATCTGACTCCTGTATGCTACAGGGGGTGCCAGCCACAGCCAGCCCCAACCCTCTCTTTTCCTGCGCTGTCCTTCTCTACCTCCACCTGGGCTGAGTGAAACCCTGAAGTGTGGCATGCCCAGAGCCCCCTGGGAGTTCCTGCAAGTGCCTCTGAATGGGTAAAGACTAAGGTGACACTGTTATAGCTAGAGCTGCTTTCTCCCTGCTCTTCCGGGAGTTCGCGAGTGCCTTTCCCGGGAGTTAGGAAGATGGATCTCCCTGTTCTTTTCCTTGAGCTCTTGGAGAGCCTTCTTAACTACTGGTACAGAGAGTGAGAAGGAATCAACCTGGGAGAGCTGAGGTGGGCCAAACTTCCCTGGGTCCCAAGCCCTTAGATGGCCATGTCCCAAGACTCAGCCAGCCAGCCAGCCAGCCAGTTAACAAACATTTGTTAAGTACTTCCTATGTGCCCGCCTGGCAATAGATACATCCATAAAGAAGGTCACCACTAGTTGCCCTCCAGTCTATTCCAACTCATGCCAACCCCATGTGTGTCAGAATTGTGCTCCATACTAAAGAAGGTAGCACTGCATTGTTTTCTAAAGTAAATATTATTAATAAACCACTCACTCTTGTAAGATACCTGTTAATAATGGACAATTTTAAAAGTTAAATGAGTATGTACGTGCCCACAGAAGAGCTTTTTAGTAATTTATGTCCTATTGAACATTTTTCTCCCTTCACCCACAGGAAATTTTATCTGAGCCACCCTTTCACCCTGGGGAGAATTTATGTAGCCCTCGCCACACCACTGGGCGGCATTCAGCTTTCTGAGGGACTCTCTCCAGAGGGAGGGGAGAAAGCTGCAACTAAGGAAAAACTAGACTCAACTCATAGCCTTTCCTTGGAGAACCATCTAGAAGCATGGCTCCCGGATGGGAAGCATTATTCCAGCTGCGTTTAACTGCACGTCCTCACACCCCACATCACCACACCCCACCTCCGTTCCACCACCAGGGCAGGCACAGGAGAATGTGCGCTTAGAAGGTCTGGGACCGAGAGATGGAGAAAAGAAAGGAAGGAAGGACAGACAGCAGAGAGCAACATGGAGGTGAAGGGGAAGGCGGAGGGAGGACGTCAGAGACGAGACGCAAACAAAACTGGTAACAAAGAAACAGAAGAGACTTGGGAGATGAGATCAAGAGGCCAAGAGAAGAAAACCACAGCTGAGCAATGCCTCACCAAGCTTCTATTTATCTAATTTAAAACTTGAAAGTAAGGCCATATAACAAAAAAAATTTTGTTTTTCTTCTCTGCTCAAACCAGTCTAGACAAGTGGGAGAGGCCAGAAATAATTCCAGCCAGGGGCTTCCCTTTAAATGTCCTTTTTTTTTTTTTTTTTGCCAATTTTTCTTAATAGTCCCTCTCTGCTAATTCACTTCTTCCTTAACCTGTTTGCTAACTAGGACTTGGTCCCAGCACTGGTGTTCCAAATGATGGCTTGGGTTTGAGGGTGAGGAAAAAGTCCTTTGGGAGATAGTAAGAGAAAGCATGTGAGGTGGGGTAAATATCTCTTTGGGGTTCAAATTTTCGAAGTTTGCTACCGTCTCAGCCCTACAAATACTTGGCTCAATCTCTTTTATGTGGAACACCCCCTTGAAATGTCGATGTATCTTGTTAAAAAAACCAAGCCAAACCCGTTGCCATGTAGTTGATTCCAACTCATAGTGACCCTATAAGATAGAGCAGAACTGCCTTATCAGGTTTCCTAGGCTGTAATCTTTGTGGAAGCAGACCGCCATATCTTTCTCCTTTGGAGCGGCTGGTGGGTTCAAACTGCCCACCTTTCTGTTAGCAGCCGAGCACTTAACCATTGCGCCACCAGGGATCCTTACATACCTTGCTTATTCCAAAAAAAAAACACCCATTGCTGTCTAGTCAATTCCAACTCATAGTGACCCTACAGGACAGAACAGAACTGCCCAATAGGGTTTCCAAGGCTGTAAATCTTTACAGAAGCAGACTGCCACGGCTTTCTCCCACGGAGCAGATGTTGGATTCTAACCTCTGACCTTTTGGTTAGCAGCCAAGCGCTTAAGCACTCCTCCACCAGGACTCCTCCGTACCTTGTGAAAAAACAAACCACTGCCGTCGTGTCATTCCAACTCTGAGCGCTTTAACCACGTGCCACCAGGGCTCCATACCTTGTTCAAAAAACCAAACCCATCGCCATCGAGTCCCACTCACAGTGACCCTATAGGACAGAGTAGAACTACCCCATAGGGTTTCCAAGGAGTGGCTGGTGGGTTCAAACTGCTGACCTTTCGGTTTGCAGCCAAGCTCTTAACCACTGTGCCACCAGGGCTCCAGTTAGTGCTTGTTAAATCAGCGATTCCAAAGATGGAAGACACAGGCTCCAAGTATAGGTACATCAGAGGCTCACAAATTATAGATCAAAGAGTCACTGAGGAGCCTCTGTCAAGTGGCCCATGGCCTAGCCTCTTGGTTTAAAATGTGCAATACTTAACATTCAATAAAAACCAGACTGATACCACCACTCACTGCTCTGACCGGGATCACAACAGAGGGTTCTGGACAGAGCTGGAGAAGGATGTAGAACAAAATTCTAACTCACAAAAAAAAGACCAGATTTACTGACCTAAAGGAGACTGGAGAAACCCCGAGAGTATGGTCCCCAGACACCCTTTTAGCTCAGTGGTGAGGTCATCTCCGAGGTTCACTGTTCAGCCGGGGATTGGACAGCCCCGTAAAACCAAATGGGACTAATGAGGTACAGCAGTCCAGAGACAAGGGCCAGAAGGCAGAAGGGGACAAGGAAGCTGGTGATAGGGAACCCAAGGTTTAGTAAGGACAGTGTTGATGTGTTGGGAGATTGTTAACCATTGTCATAGGGCAACATGTGTACTAACTGTTAAATGAGAAACTATTTTGTTCTGTAAGCCTTCATCTTAAGTGAGAATAACAGCACAATTGGAAGAGCGTAGTCGATGTCACTGAACTGTACATGTAGAAATTTTTGAAATGGTGTATCTTTGGCTATGTATATTTTCACCAAAAAAAAAAGGTTGAGAAGGGAGAGGGTTGACATGTTGTGGGGTTGTTAACCAATGTCATAAGACAATATGTGTACTACTGTTTAATGAGAAACTATTTGTTCTGTAAGCCTTCACCTGAAGTACAATAAAAATAAATAAGTAAATTTAAAAAAAAACAGACTGAGCATTCCTGAAAAGCTGCCCAATCTCCAATTAGAAAGGTGTATAGATCCCTTGCTTTGATTTAAAGTATCTTAGTGGTCAGGAGCGGAAGCCCTGGTGGTGCAACGGTTAAGCTGCTAACCAAAAGGCTGGCAGTTGGAACCCACCCACCCCATCTGCAAGGAGAAAGATCTGATTATCTGCTCCCATAAAGATTATAGCCTAGAAAACTCTATGGGGCAGTTCTGCTCTGTCGCATAGGGTCACTATGAGTTGAAAATGGACCCTTGATGGCACCGAACAACAGTGGTCAGGAGAGTTTTCCTCTTTACTGAAGTGGTCTCCAGACTGAAATAGCTTCAGTATTACCACCATTCTTTCCAAGAATGAGTCACGTCCTAGTAGCTGGTGATGTCAGTATCCACACAGATGATCCTTGCCATAGCTTGGCTGCTGTTCCATGAACTCCTCTCTCTACCTTTTTAGCTACTGACTCCCCTGATCTCACGCTAGAGTTTGCATCCCACTCCATTAGTCCCACTCCCCAGCTACGACCTCCTATCTTTCCTGAGTCCAACAATCCTTGAACTTCACCAATCATACAGCCTGTTACTCCTGCCACGTTTTCACTACCTATCTCCTCATGTCTTCATTCCCTTCCTGTTATGGATTGAATTGTGTCCCCAAAAAATATGTGTTGTAAATCCTAACCTCTGTGCTGTGGTTATAATCCCATTTGGGAATGGGTTGTCTTTGTTATGTTAATAAGGCAGGATTAGTATAGGGTGTATCTTAAATCAATCTCTTTTGAGATATAAAAGAGATTAAACAAGCGAGTGAGAGAAGCAGAGATGGGGGAAGATTGATGCCAAGCCATATGGAGATCTCCAAGGAACCACGAAACAGAAGCTGAAGAGATAAGGACCTTGCCCCAGAACCTACAGAGAGAGGAAGTCTTCCCCTAGAGTTGGCACCCTGAATTCGGACTTCTAGCCTCCTAAACTGAGAAAATAAATTTCTGTTTGTTAAAGCCATCCACTTGTGGTATTTCTGTTATAGCAGCACTAGGTAAGTAAGACACCGCCCGCCTCCAGCCTAGAGTCTGCAATCAATCATTATTATCACTCCCTTGCATGCACCCTCAACACATTTGTGTCTTTCACTTTGTTCTTCTCAATTTAGCTAAATCCAGCTCTCCACCAACTCCATGCCTGTACCATGCCTCCTGGAGAACTTGCTTGAAGAAAATCAAGACATGCTGACCAGTCTCCCCTCATAGTCACAAGCCTCAAATTGGTCGTTAACGTTGCCTGGAAATCGTACTACTACGTTTCCCTCATCTGTTCCTTCCATTTAATAGCTATTTCATACCTGTCTCCTCAAACTTCCAGTGCCTCCTGATGACCCAGTTTCCATTTCACGGAGAACATAGTAGCAATTGAAAGACAACTCCAAGCTCTCACCACCTCCTTACCTGGAATCAAACCCATAGACTCTGGTTTTTCTCATCACTAAGGAAGAACTGTCCCTGCTCCAAGCAAAGTCAACTCTTCCCCTTGTATGCTAGATCCCATCACCTCTTGCTGCTCAAGGACATTGCTATAGCAACTCTCCTACCTCATCAATTTGTCCCTCATTACTAGATCCTTTCCCTTCAGCAAAACACACAGGTATTTCTCACAATCATACCATTATTTCTTCCATTTACAAACAGAACAAAAGAAAGCCAAACCTCTTTGCTTGTCTGCCTCCTCTGCGCCTCTTATCTCCATCCCTTTACAAATAAAGTC